CTTTTCCCATCAATAGTTCCCCTCTCACGCAAAAACAAAAGAAAAACCAACACAGTCATCAGATTCCTTCTGAAGAAGCTGAGCAACGAAATATTCGTGGCACAAATAAAATAATATATGCCCCACTACAGAAACATAAAAATGATAACGATGATTGTATTATAAACATTACAATTCCGTGTCATTTATTTGGAGAGTTTTATTCCCAAACAATATGCAAATAATTTAATTTATATTATACTAGATTATTAATTTATCAATAAGTACAATAGTAGTCCTTTCTTAAGATATTATAGTAAGATAAATAGTATATACTAACTATCCTAATATCTTTACCAATTCACGTGTGCGTATCCTATCTTCTATCAATAAATATCGTTAATGGTTTATTTTTGACAACGAAATACAGTTTCTAATTACGCCGATGGATGTTAACAAATGACCTTTTAATGAACAAAATCTCGATATAACCAGTAAGTACATAATTACAGCTGTAGCGAAGTCAATTGGAATTAAGCAAGCTGTAATGTTTTAAATTGTTAATGGTTTGCAGTAGTTTTTCATATTGAATTTCAGAAGCACGGGAAAATGTTAATAATTTTGACCTTTCTTTTCCAGTGTCTTGTGTCTAACTAACTAGTTTATGAAATAAATTATGGTAAGTTTAATCAATCGTTTATTCTGAATTCTTTAAACATTTTCTACAGATTTCATAAAACGGCATATAATATACCAACATCATTAGAGACAAGACAACTTTAGAGATAGATATACAGGGGAAAAAATGTCAGTATTCTTTGATATAGGAGAATTAGCATCTAGCAAAGCAGAGTTAGCTTTAGCTTTAAATTAAATGGAAACGGTATTGACAAAATAGTATTGTATGAAAATAACTAAAAATAAAACAAAAATATAGGTATGCAAAGGAAACAAAGTAGAAAAAGGCGAATATAAAGATAGGAGACGAAAAATTAGAAGACATGGTTGAATTTCGATATGTAAAGTAAGTCAGATAAGTTAGGACGGAAGTAGTAGTAGAGATATAAAACAGGGGATAGCGCAGGGTCGAATCGCCTTCAATAAAAAAAGAAACATTGTTAAAGGTGTATGTCTGAAGTGCAATCCCGTATAGTTGCGAAACATGGACGGTGGGTGCGCTGGAAGAAAAGGTTATAAGCGTTCGAATTGTAGTATTACTTACTGGCGAATGATGGGGATACCGTAGATACAGAAGGTTAGAAAGGAAGAGGTATTAAAAACAACAGGAAGACAGAGGACTTTGTGGAAGAATGGAAGTCAATAAAAAATAGGCAGGATAGGTTGGTAGGACACCTCCTCAGGAGTAAAGATCTAGTCACAGACATATTAGACGCAGAAAGAGGAATAGAGACAGACTTAGATTAGATTACTGTTCGCAAATAGTTAAGGATGTAGGATGTTCTTGTTTTAGGGAAATGCGAAGATTAGCTCAGGATAGGAAGGAGTGGAGGTGCATGTCCAACCAGTCGTAGGACTTACGACAGGATGATAATGTATGCTGGCGAGGATAACACAAAAATTATTATCATCATGAGGTCGTCAGTCCTAAGACTGATTGGACACGCACCTCCACTCCTTTCTATCCTAAGCTAATCTTCGCGTTTCCCTAAAACTGGACCATCCGACATCCTTAAGCATTTGCGTAGTAGTGGTAGTACCTATTCTAATCTAGGTCTATCTCTAATCGTCTTAACTCCTGTTTTTGCCTCTTATGTGTCTCTGACTATACCTTCATGCTTGAGAAGGTGTCCTACCAACCTATCTTTCCTATTTTTTATTGACTTCCATAGAACCCTCTGTTATTCTTTCCAATACCTCTTCATTTCTAACTTTCTGTATCCACGGTATCCTCATCATTCACCTGTAATACCACATTTCGAACGCTTTTAATCTTTTCTTTTCCGCAGCGTCCATCTTCCATATTTCGAAGCCATACAGAGCCTTTAACAATATTTCTTGAATTTCGATTACGCTAATAATATATAATATTTTGGAATTAACATTTGCTACTTATAAACTATCTATTTATGAAGTAATATTACGTGACCATGTCTCTCTTTCTAATAACTATTTATCATTTTAACTTTATATATGGTGATGAATAGTTATCTGTCTGGCGCATCCACCAAAAAAATAATTTTTTGAGTTAAAATTTTCATTTTTAAGTAATAATGAAAATAACAAATTCAATCTTTTTGTAGTAATAATTCTATAATTTTAACTTATCTTCACACGAAGCTAACAGGTCACATAATAAAAAATTATTAAATGCGAACAAATTTGCATTATTTAATCATTCATTATCAAAAGTTTTTGCTTGTTTTTGTATATTATTCCTTACAGAATTAAGTATAAAGCAAACTACAACTCCTTTTAGTGAGGATAAGATAATGCACCTATTATTATTATTACCAACATTTACATAAAAATTTAAGTTAAATAATTAACTTGTTTTTCAATTGTTTGACGAAACAATGCAATTGTCTTTACCTAGTTTAAGGCTTGTAACTGAGGATAAGGCGACTTGATAACAATTTTTAACTTGACAAATTTACTTACTGTTCTGCACTGTTCTTAATATAATGTTTCTGTCTGCATTTATTCAGTGTCGTCGAAGTAATTGTTGTAAAACTTTGAAAAGTTCTCAGATTGGTTTATTGGATATTTTCGTGTCGGTTTTTAAAGACTTCCTAAAGTTTGAATCGTGAAACTATATGTACAAATAAGTGGACGATTTCTTCTTCGAAATGTAAGTCCGATTCAACGATTAATTATTAAGTACTTTTTTAAAAATTGTTGAATTATATTGTAAGTAACTGCACTGTGACTTTTTAATTAATGTGTGATAACTTAAATTAAATTAAAAACACATATGGGCTGATAAGGTTTGTAAATCTCTAGTTAGGAGATTTTTTTAAGGGAACAAGAAATTACAATTAATGCACAAATTGCCAGGACCAATTTTTAAAATAACTATGATAAGTCTTTTACATGATTGGCTTAGTTTGTAATTAAGACCTTTGCAGTTTAAATCCTAGTAACACATATTAAAAATTTTTACAAAAACATAATTAAAATACGAAAAACCCGTTTTTATATAATTAAAATACCTTTTTCTAGTATTTTTTAATTTGGTGAATATAGGTAAGTATGTTAAAGAAAGCAAAAGTCAGTTTCGCCATCAAAAAAGGTTATAGCGAAAATTTTTGCGAATTCTCGAGGTGTGTTACTCGTATAGTACATACAACCAGGCTAAACCACCAATGGGAAATGTTAAGATTAAAATTGAACCTTCATTCTGATAAAAATAAGGTTCTCCTTTATATACCCTATATTTAAAACTATCTAAACTGAAGTGAATATGAAGCCAAAGATTAATTCTATAGAATTATACAATTCATACTATTTTTAGCATACAAAAGGTTTAAGAATCATTGGTCATCAGGAGGTTAAGCTGAGTATGGGTGTAAAACTAATTATTAAAATAAAGCCTACAAGTGTAGGGAAACCGCGTCGCCGGAGCCCAAAGGCAGGCTTTGAACCCTATCGTATATTTCGATTTTTGTATGTTTTTCAAATCCTGCCCCGTAATATCTGTCTCATTTCCCAGGCATTTATCTCCATACCTCTTCATTCATTCATTTGTTTCTCTCTTAGTTTTATTGTCTTCAATCAACGCATTGATTCTTTTTTCTTTGTATCTCTTCTTTTTACCAATATTTAGAATTTTTCTTCTCTACACTTCCTTTCCTATATCCTCATTCTGCAGTTTTTTTAGTTTTTCATCACAATTTATACCTAATGCTATTCCTTGTGTCTTTCTCCATATTCTCACATTTAGTTTATAGCTACATAATCCGGTGTACCTTGATCTAAGTTCAGTATCAATTTTTCATATTTTTTGTATACGTTCCCAGCTCCCATACACCTACTCATCTCGGAAACTATACCTCTTACTACTACCTTTCCTGAAAAAAAATTATATTTCACTTAAAACTTTTCCTTTCGCGCACTTTTTCGTCTGTTTTTTGTCAGCTATTTTGCGTCAGGTGTTAAACATTTATACAGACATAGCCTTCTGTGTGTCGTATCCATACATATTCATTAGCATGCCGCTGTATCGCTCGCTGCCTGCGGCATTCATATGCGATCCGTATCTGGCAGTTTCGACAGAATACAGACCACTTCGAATTATTTTATTCGATTATGGTAACGAGCCTATCACGTTGAGGTTGGCTACGCCGGGATTCGTTTCAGCAAGTAGATATCCATGTATTTAAATGGACCTTGTTGGAGCATACGTAATCCTAAAATGTAGCATCGTACTACAGATGGCGTTACCGCGCCATTTGTGGTATTTTCTAAAACGCATTGTTAAGACAGCAGGTAAAAGTTGGTCTGTGTTCTGTCGAAGCTGTCTGCGACGTGCTGATGAAATCCAAAAAGATCGAAATCGCGATCCGCGTCTGGCAGTTTCGACTGAATACAGACCACTTCGAATTATTTCATTCGATTATGGTAACGTGCCTATCACGTTGAGGTTAGCTACGCCGTGATTCGTTTCAGCACGTAGATATCCATGTATTTAAATGGACCTTGTTGGAGCATACGTAATCCTAAAATGTAGCATCGTACTATAGATGGCGTTTACCGCGCCATTTGTGGTATTTTCTGATACTTATAGAGTCCATAAATATCAAAAAATCAAAAATATAAAATCGAGTCTTTTTAATAAGTCACTGTGAAATTGTACACTTTTCTCCTTTCTTTTAGCATGTATTATAGCTCCTACTGTACTTAATGTTCTTCATATCCTTTGTTTGTACGGGTTTGTTAAATCTAATCAAGTTACCCACACGGGACGTTAGTTTGGACCATGTACTTGAACTGCCAAATATTAATTAATCAATATAAAGCGTTTTTTAATTTAGGTTGAGAGTCTATCTACGCAGGAGGTAAACTGATCAAGCTAACTCCCTAATTTACCAATGACGGAATAAAAATTGCTGCAGTGGCGTAGGTGATTAGACGTTAATAATTACATGTTGAGTTTCATGACATCGATTAGGAAATCAATTTAATGTCACTGTGGAAACAAAAAAACGTTTACAGAATTTTATTCTGAAACTTTATCGTTTAAACGTGTCTGTTAACAACATACGAAACGATAGAAGTTTTTGGGTAATAATAATGTTTTATATCAGGTAAATATTCGATTTCTCAAATCTTTCACGCTTTTCAGTAGTGTACTGTAAACTCATGTGTTTAGATGGCCCATTCATAATAATTCGAATGGTTTAAGTTTCAGGATCGAGCTAGTCATAAGTAAAATTCACCTCGACTAATTCAAGGATCTTCATGCGTTTCTGTAAAGAACTCCAGGAGTAATTACGCTAAAATGGGCACATTGTATTTCTCTTCATTTTTGCGATTAGTAATCGGAATTGTTAAAGGATGAAACATTAAAACAATTTTTGTAATCGTTGTACTCAGTATAGATACTTGTTTGGCTACATTAATAATTTCAAAAATACCCAGTTTGGTTTTGTCGAAAACACTTAAGTGCTCCAGTTAAAATACAAACAATCCATTAAATTTGCATAAACAATTAAATTTTGTTTATGTATTTATTGACAGGTTTTTTATGTATCAACTATTTATTTTGTTTCTGCGGACTCACAAGTGAAAAATAATATGACCAGTCATCTAACGCATTGTATTCGAAATTGACTAGAACTCTCAAGATGACGTCAAGCGTGAGAAAGACGATTTTCCGTTCGCTTGCAATCCTACGTTTTTAGTTTTATTGTATCATAACCTTAGATCATAACCTGCTCCAATGATAATAGTAATGTCGCATTCTCATATTTTTCCGTGCCTAAACTCAACGCAAAAGTTGTGAAAGTGCGTTCATATTTATGTTTAATTACAGTTAGGTGTACAGATTTATTTATTGTAAATTTTTATTACAATGTTTAACAGTTTATTTAAACAGGAAACTATATGGGCATTAATTGATAAATAGTTTTCATTAACACGGGCTCAACAACTACGTTTTATTATTATGTTAATTCGATTCAGTTCACTTTCCCTTGTGTAAGTCGTAATTATACATTCTAGATCTGGCATTTTTATTGATTGCCTTAATAACGTAATTAACAGGTATGAAATAGTTGTATTTACAAGTACATTTTTTGGTAGGTCGTCTATCTAATGTTACTATTACTTTACAATTATTACATAACAGCAATATAAAAAACGGTACTGTACGAGTAGTTTGAGTGATGTGAAACGAATTTGTTAAGTAGGAAGTGCTCAAAAACAGTATTTTAGAAATACCTCAAATTTCAGCATAAAATTGAGGAGTTCTCAAAACTATCAAAACTAGGAAGATCAATTGATTGAAGACCATTTGGATAACAGGCGTATTAAAAACTAGAACAACCATCCAATTTTCCAAAATCAGGAAGAAGCTTTCTTTAATAAAACTCATAAACGCGTTAATTTCTAAATTTTCACCATTCAGCGCATGTTTAACAAATTAAATAAATTTTCTACCTGAGATCCAGGAGCCTTTTAAAACAAAAGGAAGTGACATCCTGATAATTTATATGAATTGTGATAGTTATGTAGACATTAATCACAAGTTTAAATTAACTACAAAATGAACATTTTCAGTGTTAAATGTGTTCTATTAAGGTATATAGTGCAAAAGGTGTAAACAAATTTAAAAATAATTGATTAGTTATTAGTGTTTCACATTTGAGTAAATTTTTTAGCACAAAAAAAATATATTACGCAGTTATTAGGAACAAAGAATCATGAAGAGGGAAAGAATAATAAAATTTTTAAAAATGCAGTAACATTAATCCTGTCTTTTAGCAATACTTACATCAAATGTCATAAAAATGTCTCTTATATAATTTCTCATTAATCAATGATTTATAATTGGGTAGATTATCTTCCTTAATCAAATCTGACGCTTTCTCACCGATCATAACAGCCGGGGCATTGGTATGTCCAGAGACAGGATGTGGTATAATACTGCAATCGGCAACCCTTAAATTTTTAATACCGTGTACTCTCAGCCTAGGGTCGACCACTCCCTCTTCAGGATCAGGAGACATTCTGCAAGTGCTTATTGGATGGTATAAATTAGATGTCAACTGCCTCATAGCGCAGTACCAGAATGCTCTCGACGAAAAGGGGAATCCCCTGCAATCTGGAGGTGCAGCATAAAGTAAACTCATATTACGTGCTCTATACGCATTCGTATCTATTAAATCCAAAGCTAACAAAATGCCCTGGTACATAGTTTCAATATCGTGATCGTATGGATCGGAAAGGTATCGAGGATCGATATCAGGATATTCGTAAGGGTCATTTGATTTAAGCGTAATAGTTCCCACAGACTTGGGGTGAAGGACAATAATGTATATGCACATCATTGTGGTGGGATCGACTCTACCCCAAACCGCATCGTAAACTTCGTCAGTAACGTGAAGCGCCCTCTGTATCATGGGAGTACTGCTATTAGCGGGAATTACAAGGAACTCGATGTCAGGATATCCAGGAGTACTTTCCAAGTGTGACTGATAAAAGCCAAGTGCTTGAGAATTAAGGGCAATTGTATAAGGTCCGTATTCGTTGAAGTACTGTCTTAAATAGTTTTCTATGGTGTCTACGGGTTCTGTATAATTAGACGTGAAATAAAGACCAAAATACGTAGCATGGTCTTTTAAATTTTGACCCACCGGCAGATCTTTAACAACTGGGATTTGAACGGACTTTAAATGATCAGCAGGTCCAACTCCGGAAAGCATTAGCAGTTGAGGTGATTGTATTGATCCAGCAGAAACTATTACCTCCCTTCTTGCTCTCGCTTCAAAGTATTGCCCTCGGTTAGCTAATCGTACCCCATAAGCTTTCTTGTTTCGATCAATAAGGATTTGGGTAACGTAGCTGTTAATCCAAATCTCTAGATTTTCTCTATGTTGAATGGGTCGTAGAAATGCTTTGGCTGTACTGCAACGCCTTCCATACTGGTTGTTGATTTGGGCTTCAGCAACTCCCAGTTGTTCTCTACCATTATAATCTACTACTCGCCTCCCCCTTTCGATGTTTGCTTGAATATAAGCCGCAGTATGGGCATTGTTAGGACGATGGTTTTCGACAAACCAATATCCTCCATAACCATGGTATTCCTCGTCAGCGTCTTGGATACGAGCGTTTTCAGACTTTTTGAAGTAAGGAAGTACTTCTTCGTAGGACCAACCGGTATTTCCAAGGGCTGCCCATTTGTCATAGTCTAATGGGTTACCTCTTACGTATGCCAAGCCGTTAATGGAACTAGTACCACCCAAAACTCTACCTCTTGGATAGTGACAGCTTCTATTCCACATACCTAAAGTGAAGAGGAATTGAAATGATTTTTCAAAGATATAAAAAGCATGCATGATTCAACTTAAACTATTCTTGATACAACTTTTGTGAAATTGCATGATTTCAAACATTCAAAAATAAAACAAACTGGAAAGTTTCAATAACATTTGTTAAGTCGATAAAAAAATGTTTCCAGTTTGATTTGTTTTTGAATATTTGAAATGCATGATTCAGTTTCCATTTATTTATATCCTTATTTTAGAGCATAGTGCAGAATCAATGTAAAGATTATTAAGTAGAAAAAAAAATGGATAAAGTATGTTACACTTAGAAATTACTACTAAATTTTATGAAAGAACAATTTTCGTACTAATTTATTAAACAATTTGGTATTTTTTCGTATATAGTCTTCTAGACTAGTTTGTGCTATGGGTTGTTTTTTATAAATGTAATTACAATCAAAATTACGAAAAAAGCGCGATAATTACTATTTTTCAAAATTCCATAAAATCTATTCATCTTCATGTGAGACCTTTTTGGTACTTATTATATGCAATCTGAATGTCAGACTTTAATGTTTTTCGATCTGTGTACAAGTTTAGTATACTATAATTCTACAGACCAAATGGCTCCGGCGTCTGTTAAAAATATGAGGTGTTCATAAATTAAATAAAAAGGAATTACAGATTTTAGATACCGGAATAGAATGATTCAACCAAAACTTAATAACTCTTGGGTGTTTCATTCCCATCAGCCACTAATGCTGGTGGGCGGACAGTCCCTCCGGACTATGCCGAAAGGTAGGTCGGAAGGCCCTCTTCAGCCTCCATTCAGGAATCGTGGGAATAGGTGAGGTGGTGATTCGAATGAGAAAGATGACACGCACGAAATTAAGACAGAAAAGAATGAAAGATTATTTGTAAAATATTACTGCCCCAGCATTTGCCTAAGTGATCCAAGGAAACAGAAAAATTTGGACCAAGGAAGACGGACTTGGAATCGAAGTGGAAAGCAATGGTTAAACCTCTACGCCATATCGCTTAGTGGACGACTAGGGGCATACCTTATTATAAGTATATAGTGAACAACTCAGTGATGGTTATACATATATTTAAATCACTATCTGTATAATAGCGAGGAGAGAACTTAATAATCACTACCATAGACTGTTTTCTTCACCATAAAGCGACTAAAAGCCCATTATGCCTTACCTAGACAAGCGGTGGTTTGAGGAGTCGTATTAAAACCCCAATTCATTTCTAAACCTTGCAGATAAATATGCATAAACGGTATATCACTAAAATCAGTTTCTAAGTCGCCGGCTTCTATTAGGAGAACACTCCATTCTTCAACTTCTGTAAGTCTGTTTGCTATCACTGCACCAGCTGAACCTGCTCCAACGATAATAAAGTCGTATTCTCCTGCATCTGAAAGTTCGTTTAAAAAACAAAGTTAACTTCAGGTTACACAATGCGACTAATCATAAGTGTAAATCAGAGAAGATATCAATTCAATTAAAAGAGAAGAAATGTGATATAAATGGAAGTAGTGAAATATAAATATATANGTTGAGAAAGAACGTGTAATTTAATTCTTTTATTCAGAATAAAATCACGTATAAAACAATCTTAGATATATTATTTTTGCCATTGTTTATTCAAAATACGCATGTGTTGATAGTGATTGTAGCATATATAAAAGTTTTGCAACTTCCAAAATTTTAAACTTCCAAAATGACATGCAACATTGCAACGCAATGCATTTTCATAATGTCGAAGCAATGTGATAAAAAGAGAAGTTCAAATTATAATTATTTATTTCCCCCTAAATAGCTTGTCTTTATTCATAATGCCCGTGCATTATGAAAAATGCCCGTATTATTATTTGATCCATAACATATATATATATAAGATGATATTTATTGGTTATAAGAATGAAGATGTTATATAAATCATTGTTTGCAATGTTTGCGGTTGCATGCTTTCTTATCTGTGAAAACCCTCAACTGTCATTATTTTTAATTATAAGCAATAAATTTTACGCAAGTAAGAACGCAAGTGTGTACTTAATATTATTATGTTAGTACCAATAGAGCCTTTTTATTTATAACACAACAGACAATAACCAATTCGTACATAGCACCTGCTTAGAACCATATGAACTAAATATTCATATCTTTGCTTTTACCGCAAGTATGATTATTTCTCATTATTTTATACAATTATCGAATGTAATGACTACTTTCACTAACTCAAACATGTTTTTGTCTTTTTTGGATTTAGTAAAAGAAAATTGACGTAATGTTAGATACTTGATAATTATTACAAATTAGAATGTTAATAAACTTTAAATGTAAACAAGAGCGTAAAATTATGTACTTACTACTATATGTGGATAGGATCTATCAACAAATTAGTGCAATTTCTGTTGAAACGTTCTTACACTTCAAAAAGTATGAAAAAAAAGATTAAAACTTTGGGTTCAGTTCTAAACTGTTTCTTACCACCACAATATAATTTAGATAATATACAGAAATTGTGCCAATGGTGAATATTCCTTTAGGTATAATTGTAAGATTAATTATAATTTATCCTTCCAACAAGCGTAACTAATACCTTGGGACAGTGACAGAGGGCTTCTAGACAGGCTAATCCTAAAATTTATTCCTTCAGAAATAAAACATAACTTAGATAAACTCAAATAAAGAGAACTGTAGCTTTCTGTAATTTTATAAATACTCTTTATTAACGCATAGTTGAAAATGGATGCTGGAGAAATCGTTTATTTATTTTCCTATGCAAAACCAATCAAAATGTGATTGTCCAGTGATTGCCTAGCAGCTGTTGAGGGCTGTACGTAAAACTAGAATTTTACGAAAAATAATTTGCTAGTCTAATCCCACTAAGGTAAAGAGAAGAGCATTTTATTGTTTTATTGTTTAAATATTCTTCTTACGTTTACTTCAGAATTACAAAAGGTGAATACCGTTGTAATACTAAGCTATTAATAGCTAGCTACTAATAGTTTATGATCCGAGGCCGGTCCTGTGCGTGAATAGGCAACAGTCTAATAGCCTAGTGTGATAAAAACTCTGGAGCTACATGGATGGAGAATGTAAACATTACTGATAATGAACGTCTAAAATAAATATACACAATTTAGCACTACACATAATGTTTACAGTAATAAGTACCATATCAATCTTAAAATTCAAAGAAAGTAACAATTGAATTTTTACGAGCATTATCACTTTAAATAAAATGACAAAATAGTCATGAAAGTAATTAATCCCATCGGGGCATCTTTTACCGCTGGACTGAGAATTACTCCAGCACATCAAGAGTATCATCTTAACTTTAAAATCCAAATGATTCTAATTTAATTTTGAAATAAGGATAAGTATATCGACATTTCAGTGCTCTTGGGCAATTATAAGGACGTATTTATTCGATATATTCTATGACAGGAGATTCGGATATGGTCTCAGGCATGCTATAATACCTACTTAAAATTTTGAGATGCTCCAATCTCAAAACCAAACCAAATTAGCATAATTTGAATTTTGAAATTAAGATATTTAAAAATTGTGACTCGTTAGGACAAAAAACAAGCTATAAATAAATGTCCTCTTCCTTATTTTGTTCTAATATTTCACGTAGTAGGTAATACTGAGAAAAGCTGGAAGATTACGTAATTTGGAATATCACGATTTAGCACATCGTGAACTCAAACATCATTAGTTTCCTGATTCACTTTGAATCAGTGATATTAAAATGAAAAATATTCTATGATAGTTGTGACAGGTATGACTAACAGTCGTTAGCTAAGTAATTGTTGTCGATCACAACCAACAGGACCCGAAGCGATACATGGACGATGGGGCGCCGGAAAAGAAAAGGTTAAAAGCGTTCGAAATGTAATGTTACAGTACTGAGCGGCATGGTCTAGAGGTTTAGACCGTTGCCTAGCATTCGGGAGGACGCCGGTTCGATTCCGGGTCCGTCTGTCTTGATCCAAGTTTTCTATGGTTTCCTTGTATCACTTAGGCAAATGCTGAGGCAGTAATATTCCACAGATAATCTTTCACTCTCTTCTGTCTTCATTTCGTCCGTCTCATCTTTCTCACCCGAACCACCACCCACCCATTCCCACGATTCCTGAAAGCAGGCTGAAGAGGGCCTTCCGCCCTACCTTCCGGCGTAGTCCGGAGGGACTGCCCGCCCACCAGCATTACTGGCTGGTGGGAATGAAACACCCAAAAGTTTTTTTTTTTAATGTTACAGTCAACAGAGGACTCTATGGAAGTCAAAAAGAAATAGGCGACACAGGTTGGTAGGACACCTTCTCAGGCATGAAGATCTAGTCAGAGACATATTAGAGGCAGAAACAGGAGTTAAGATGAGAAGATATGGACCTACATTAGAATACTATTCGCAAATAGTTATGGACGTGGGATGTTCTAGTTTTAGGGAAATGCAAAGATTAGCTCAGGATTGGAAAGAGTGGTGGTGCGTGTTTAACCAGTCTTAGTACTGACGACCTTATCATGATGAACTCATACTGTCAGCAATTGTTCTTTTCGATCTATTATCTCGAAATCGATGATGTGCAGTGTGTCTTTCTTTTCATTTTAAAAATGATTTGATTGTGACGCATATTTGCGAAAAGATCATTGCATATTAAAAAAGACGCTGTATAATGAAATTGTAATTTTGCAGACTGATCTAATATTAAAAACTAGACAAAAACATTATGTTAATATAGAAAAATATCCCACTTTCATCAAATGTACGAAATAAATTTATTCTTATTTTGGATTTACATATTATGCCAATCGGGCTTTTTATATTTGCTGATTCCCATACTAAAGGTTATTTATTAGCATTATCATTGTCTGGATATAGACCAAATTATGATATCTTTGTTAGAGATGCAGATGCAGGTTACTCTTTAATGGTAGGATAGTAAAAAGAAACATAAATATGTATTTCTATGACTACTCCTCAATTGATATATATTATTACCAAAATAGTATCATAGATAGATTGTACCAAAGTTTTATAAGTAGATTGACAAATTTTTGAGAGAAGAAGTCAATGATGTACAGAAGGTAGTTATACCTGTATTTGACAAGCTACATCATAAGGTCGTCAGTCCTAAGACTGCTTGGACACGCACCTCCACTCTTTCCTATCCTGAGCTAAACTTCGCATTTCCCTAAAACTAGAACAGCCCACATCCTTAACTATTTGCGAAGAGTAATTCTAATCTAGGTCTACCTCTACCCCTCCTAACTCCTGTTTCTGCGTCTAATATGTCTCTGACTAGACCTTCATGCC